AACAAGTGCATCGCTTCTAGTAACAAGGGCCTTACTAGTAGTAACAATGTTTGCTATTAGAATATGAGAACTCATTGGCGCACAACCTACTAGCCATGGCCTCCAACCTACTAACGATGGCCTCCAACCTAGTAGTTTTCTATGTGGTAGATTGAAGAAGCATGAGAAGCAATCAACACTTCTTGCCCCTTTGCAACCTGCTGGCTGTAGGTCCAAAGCCATCTCCAAACCCAATTCCAAAGGAACATTCAAGAGAATTCTGTCGATATCTCCGGTCTTTTATGGCCTCCTTGAAAAGTCGATGCCTGTGTCGGCCTCTCCTATCAGGCCACTCGAGGGCTGGGCCTCCGCTGCATCCTGGTCACCAGCTATGGCCAAGGGCGCCCTCGCGTGGGGGCCGCCCAGCTGTGCCCACCCGTCACCGGCCGACGTCAAACGGACACACCTCGGACCGCCCAAACGGTGCTGCCCGTTCCGGCGTCCAGTCCAGTGCATGCGCGTTTCTTCCGAGGTCGGTGCAAAGAGCTGCGATGCTCAAGGCGATGTTCGTTGGACGTTGTTTGGGCGTTGGACTGCTGACGCTCGTAAGTTCAACCAGGTTGCTTTGTACCGTTGGATCTGTGAGGGTGTTTGTTGATCCACTTGAAATGGCCAAGAGAAAATGGCCCAATGAGGTTTGTGATCGTATTTGATAGATGTCAATAGGGATGGGGTCCCAGTATAGTCGCTATACAGGTACATGCCATATACTTTTGGCTCAAGTGCCCAACCAGGTAAAAAAGAGCTTTAGCGCGCGAGCTTCATGTTGAACTAAGGGCTAGAACGGGGCCAGGGCACACCTTTCCATCCGTTCGCAGGTTATCAGCCGTAGCCAGACTCCTTTGAGCTGGGTACGAGCTGCGGCCTTACACAACACCATCTAAACGCACACGCATCGGATAGATCAGTTACCCTCAGTCACTGAAGATGGACCAATCCGACGCCAGCACTGCATCTTTTGGAGCAGCTGCTGCGGCCGCAGATCGGGTGAGTGCATCCCACAACTCTAGTCCAGGTACGATCGAAGCGGAGACTCTGACAGCGGTGAGAGAAGGTGCGACAGGTAGAGCACGAAGTCGTTCCCCGTCAGCACACTCGACACCACCTGGGGGGACACCGAGATCAGGCCGTAGCCCTAGGGAGACAAGGAGGAGGACTGACACCGGAGCTGTGAGAGTGTTAGCATTGGAGGATGGGTCAGCTGTACCAGTGCCGTCGGACAGCGAAGCTGGAGATGGAGCAAGGGCAAGTACTGACAACCTACAACTAGCACGGGCCGATGGAGACCTGAATGCGAAGTGTGCGCAACTACTTGCCGAAGTGCATATGTTGAACCACCAAAACGCATGGATGGTCGAATGTGAGCAGAGACAGAACCAGATTATACAACACGAGACCGAAGTCCACGAAGTAGTGATGACACACCTCGAAGAATGTTATGTCGAAGGATATGGAAATCAACGAAGAATCACCCAACTTACAGAATCCAGAGACTGTTTGCTCTCGGCAGCACACGACCTGCAATACCAGATGGACACTGATCGTGTGGCAATGCGGGATCGTCTCACCCAGTTAGGGGAGTACGCTGATCGCAACAGCGCAGAGATGGTTAGTCAAGTTGTGAACATCGGCGCGGAAGAGATCCAGGCTATATCGGCAGAAAGAGATCGAGCCGTAACCGAGGTCATGACTACAATCGCAGATGCTGAGAACGTCAAGGACCTGTGTAGACAGGAGTTAGTGGGAC